CCAAGTGGCAAAGTCACAGTACATTGAATAGTACAGAAAGTATAGATCTTGCCAGGGGCTATGACATGGTCACGAGGCACTTTACCCAGGAGGTCTGACCTCTGGCAGATGTTTGGAAGATTAGGATCATCAGGCTCGTTACAAAGAATAGTATCCGCACAGTAAACGGGGAAAAGAAAATGGAATTTGTCCTGTGGTATTCCGTTCTTATCAGGAGCAGGTGTGGAAGCTCCATCGTAATTACAATCGAGTGGGTATCCCTTAGCACTGCTTATACCCGTTGCGACTGAAAGCACGATACGTACCGCGGTTCTGGTCGCCAAGCCAAACTCTGGTAGGTCGAAGTCGATTTCAGCACCGAACTGGACGCTCGGGGGTACAGGCCGTTTGAACATACCCTGCCACCGGAACTCCCAACGTCTGAAATAACCAAGCAATAGCGATTCTAAGACTGCATAAAGTAATCAATATTTCATTGCAAACAACTCCCCATGTTAGCCCCTGATATGGTAACAATCTCGATATGCGATACTCATCCGATACTAGTGTAGACGCTGAGTAATTGCAGAATATGAAGATGAACATACAAGGAAAAATATATTATTACATAAAGCACAGTACACAAGTACCCCCAAAATAATTACCGTTGTTTCGGAGCCAAATACGCCTCGTACGGCGATGGCATGGTCTCGTCAATTGTCTTGTGCATCACAAGCGCACTGCCAACGAAAAAATCGTTCTCAATCTTGGTCGGCCTCGTATCGTTGGAGAGTATCCGACTCTTATCCGACACCAGGCGAGGGTCCTTTGCCTTGTGCAAGTCGTAGACTCCGAAGTAGTTATCCAAGGAGTCTGGTGATTGCTCCTTATCTGCAAGCACCAACGAGCTATACACTGGACTGGGGGACATCACACAGAGAGGACAGTCAACTGTAAAAACAACTGGGCGGTATTGATAATAACAATACGATCAATACAGTACACGGGTAAACGGTGCGGCCAAAATTTGGAAA